ATTGAATATCAAGTAAACTGAGAAATTGAATGAGTCTTAACTTTGATATCATGATGAAGAAATTAGATTTTGGACATAACTCAACCTTAAATATATCTTATGATATGAGAATTGTTCAAGATCATGAAAAAAAGAATCATCTCACCCCTAAACCCTAAAGAGCCGATGTGGGACTCAACAAAATTACATGGTCGAATTTTGGGAATGCAATCATTTTTAACATAGAGCTTTTTTTTTCAAGTGAAATTTCTCAATGTAGATTAATCTGAATTAGTTGAACTATAATAATACTCGTTTTCAACTTTAACTCAAATACCTTTCTCTTTCAAATTTAACCAAATATTGTCCAAACGCTTACATAATTTGTCGATTTTCGAATATTCTCAAAATAAAGTTTAGTTCAAATATCAATTTTTCTAACAGAAAATTAAGGTCACATTACAAACAGGGGCGGATCTAAGGGTATAGGTAGGGGTGCCACGGCACCCAGTGACCTCAGTTAAAATTTTGTATATATATGTATATATGTATGAAAAATGATATTTATTGTACGTTCCCACTAGAGCTGTCAAAATGGGCTGGCCTAACCCAACCCAACCCAACCCTAACGGGCTAGAGAGTTAAATGGGTTGGGACGGGCTGTCCCTTTTAATTAAAGGGCCGATAAAATAGCAGCCCAACCCAGCCCTAAGCGGGCCACGGGTTGGGACGGGTTGGCCCTTCAACCAAAAAACGGACAACATTTTCCTCTTAAAAAGGATACGAACGTTGATGTCTGATGGACACGGCATCAATACATACATAAATTCATTCATGAATTACACATACTTCAGTGAACATTTACAAAACAAATATATAATAGCCAAGATACAACATTCATAAGATTCATCCGAGCAAAAAAAAATTACATGATCATTATTTTCATAAACAAGACAATAAAGGAGAAGTGAAAAATTAGGCATAAAAACAAAAGCAAAAGAGGTCAAAGATTTATAGTTATAATGGAGTAATGAACTTGGGCTAATAAGAAAATTTAGTGGGCTAATGACCCTAAAATGTAAAAGATATGTAAAAAATATAGTCTTGATTTTATATTGATATTTTAAAAATATTTATTGAAAAAATCTTAACAAGTAAAACACTACTTAAAATATATATAATAAATATTTTTAAAATTCACAGCCCATGGGCTGACCACTGAGGCTTGCGGGTTGGGCCTACGAGGCCAGCGGGCCAAATGAGGTTGGGCTAAAAAGCCTCGTTCCTAAATGGGCAGAAAAAGTTGAGCCCAACCCCATTTAATTCAAGGGTTGGGTTGGGCCGACCTAGCGGGTCAAGCCCATTTTGACAGCTCTAGTTCCCACCCATCAAATATAATTGTAAATGGTGCAATTGGCAAAAGGCGCTATGTCGTACGTGAGGGTTGAGGGTTCAAATCCTCTTGACATCACTGAATATTTTTTTTTTACGTTTTGCTTGTGAGGGGGCTTCAGCTCTTCCTTCCTTTTTTTTGTTCTCTTCTTTATCTTTCTCATTAATGTGTCCAGGGGTTTAGTTTTTTTTAAATGAGTTCATCTTTGTTTGTTAAGTATTACTTATTTATCTTATTAAGAGTAACTATATTTTTCTCTTTCTAAATTATTCTTATTGACTTTCTTTTTCGCTAAGTTTTTTTTTTTAATCAAATTTATGGAGTTCAGGTCTCTCTTTTATTGAGAATTAACAATTTGTACAAAAGGGTCAAATGGGCCCCAATTTTATTTTTTTTCACTAAGTATTAATCTTAAATTCATACGAATGTCATGTGTGAATTCTATATTAGTTAAAGATCAATTTAACGTCTCATAAATATTAATAAGAATATATTTAGAGAATAAGGTATTTTATTCTTTTCTTTTAAAAAAAAAACTACTTCAGCATATCTTTAATAATAGAATATCTTAAAAAAGTAAAACAATATATATTAGAATATCTAAAGGAAAACACTACTGAATATGCATATTTAAGCAATTTGTGTATAAAAATTGAAAAAAAAAAACTAAATAACTCAAAGTATAATCTAAATTGAAGGAACCGACCCGTTTACCCTATATAGACAATATGACACCCACAACCTTCAAATCTTGAATCCGCCTCTGATTACAAACAAGATGAAAGTTTCTTGTACTTGTTGATCTTAATGTTGAGAAGTTGGCAAATCAATTCACTAGCAAGGACAATAATTAATTGCATTACTACCGAACCTAAGAGACCTAAAAGCTGTAATATTTGACATTAACATGTGGAAAATCTAATTACAATATTTGGACCAATTTCAACAGTTAATTGATCAAGTTTTCATCAACTGGATAACTTAATGGAACAATGGATAGTTAAAGTATGAAATTAACAAAAAAAAATCATAATTTTTTATACCATTTACTCTTTATTTACGGCTACTAGGATAACTAAAGTTTTATTTGATAAATTGAGAAAACACATTTTTGAAAGTTGCTGAAGTGGGGAAATGAATGAGATATCAGCTTTAATTAAAATTATTGGGAATTAAAAAATTATTACAACGTAAAAAACGTTCCTCCGTTAATAGCTTTTAACGGCAAAATTTTGAATAATTGGATCCTACCTACCAAGAAATCAAATTAATAGTGACAATCAATCTCAAATATCCCATAAATTCTTGGGTATTTTTAAAGATCAAGATCTCAAATATTTCACAAACTCATGGAATATTCATAAATAGATCAAATTCAAATCATCTTAATTTGAGAAATACGCCACTAATGACCCTCAAATTATCCAAATCATCTTAGTTTGATAAAAAACGCCACTAACGGCCCTCGAATTATGCAGATTAAGTCCAAATCATCCTAGTTTGAGAAATACGCCACTAACGGCGGTCAAATTATGTAGATCAAGTTCAAATCATCCTAAGTCGAGAAATACGCCACAAACGGCCCTCCTCGAATCATGAATAAATATCTTATTAGAGAAGAATCAAGAGAGGAACGAAATTGTACTCGCATTGATTTATCAATAAAATATTCATTTTTTTTATTAAAAAAAAAACAAATACCAATGGTTATTACCATAATTAAAAAGAAAATAGATGTAGCGATACGATGCATTGACGAAATTCCTTATCCTTCAAAACTTGCAAATAAAGAAATTCTTAATCGAAAGCATTCTCGTTTTAATAATCTCACGACAAATCTAGATTAATTGATGAATTCTAAGGTAAATTTGGTGTATACGCTAAAACGTGTCATTCTTAATAATTTCATTCTTTATATTGGTAATTACATTCATATTCATTTAGCGTATACACCAAATTAAGCAAGTTATCTATAAAATTAAGAATTATATATGTATATTTAGCCTTGTTTAAATGATGAAAAATATGTATATGAAAGACATATACTATATATTCATTGGTCTAATGTATATAACGAATAAATTTGGGACATTAGTGAAAGAATAATGAACTTGAAACCTCAATTGAGGTAAATTAATCATTAGTTTTCTAACTTAATTAGTGATATCTACAATTAAGAATTCATAGCCTAATTAGTTAAATATTGTTCATTATCAAGTTAGATTCAAAGTATGTTTCTTAAATATGTGTAATATATTCATAGAATGAGTTCCACGTTGTTTGCTGAGAAATTCTAAAAGAACTTTGAAATTTGTGTTTGATTATATATGTGTTATTTTCTTTAAAAAAAATTTTTTATGAAAATTAATTCTTGCAAAGTTATTTTTTAAGGGGTATTTTTGAGCTATGATAAAATTATTTTTGTATAATCTATAAGTCACAAATTTGAAACATGAAAGTCACTAATCTAAATGGGATCAAAAAGAGCTAAATCCTACTAGAGCAAAATGCTTTATGTTTTGGATGGTTTGTTTTGAAAAAAATTCCAGCAGAGTTTTTCCTTTGTCCAAAAATTGTCTAAATGTCGTCTTTTCAAATTTTAACTTGGAAAAAAATAGAGAATTACATAATTATTTTTTTACAGAAACTTAAATTTTCTATAAGTAAATAAAATAAAACATAGGATGGATATCTTATTATTTTTCTTAAAACAAAAAATGGTATAAATTCTTGTATTTCGTACTTATTATACTAATTAATCTAAGATCACATCGTATACAGTCATTAGAGGGGAAACCAATACCTATAAGATATTTCTCTCAGAACTCGAAAGCTAGATCTCAAATTAAATTAATGTTTGATTATATATTTTGAATTTTATCTTCAAATATTTATGTTTGACTGTGAAATTTTATCTTCGAAATCTGATCTTCAAAACTAGTCAATTTTTGAGAGAAATTTCACTTTTACGACAATTTATTTTTTCCAAGTAAATACATATTCAATACAACTTCAACAAAATTATACCCAATATATTAAATTTCATAAATAAAGTTTAAAAAAAATTGTATACAGACATTAACTCTACCTCATAAGGATAGAAAATCTATTTGTGCAAAACTCTTGGTGTAAATACAACAAATCAAAGTATTCAAAAAAATAATAATACAAAAATGAAAAAACACATATCAAATAAAATAACACAAAACATCCCAAGAAAAAGAAACAATAACAACACCAAATTAATACGGCAACTAAATAAAAATTGCATGCATAAGCTCCCAGGCTCCTGCCAAACTAAAACTCGATTACCCACTAACCTTCTACTAATTCACGATCTTCATGCAATCATGCCCTCTTATTTAATATCATATTCTGAATAAATTAAAATAATATCATGTCTAATCTAATAACCTCTTTTCAATACTTTAAGTTTCAAAAGTCACAACTAATCTAAAAAAAATTAAATTTAAATTTCAACTTCAAAATCTAGTGTCGAAGCAGATCTAAAGTAAGAGAAATTCCGGTCATTATTGTATAAATATAAAATTAATTACTTAATAAGTAGATAAATAAAAATAGTCTTTTAAGTTGACGAGTCACGCTCTCCTTCCTAACATCCGTTCAAAAGTCGACGTTTTGTTTGAGCTTCACTCTCCACAAAAAGCGCGTGAAGTAAAATCCAACTCCCTCTCCTCCTCCATATCTATTTCCCCATTTCATTTCACAGGGAGATCGAGATCTGTGCTCACACCCGACCCCACCCCACCACCCTAAACCCCCTACCCCTACCCTTCAAAATTCATATATACAACATTGATGTGCACAAAATTCGTGAAGGAAATGGAGAAGATGGCGTTGTACGTCGTCGTTTTGCTTATCATCTGCTATGCATCGCCGGCGAGATCAGACGGTTCCGATCATAAGTATAAATCCGGAGATCAGGTTCCACTTTATGCTAACAAAGTTGGTCCTTTCCATAATCCGAGGTAAGGAATTATCTAATTAATATATTGCCGTTAGATCTCTTGCTTTTTTAAAATTGTGAAGCTGAATTGTACATTGTGTGTTTCTCTTGCTATAAAAAACTAAGTGATTTCTCGTGAAAATGTGGTTTTTTGTGCTTGGAAAGTTGTCGGTGGTTATGAAAATGAGAGATTTCTGTTGAACTGTGTTGATTGCTGGTGTTTTGAGCTGACTTACTTGTTGTACAGGGTAGAAAGAGTTAAGATTTGGTGAATTTGAGATCTCGTACTGTTATGAATACAGTCTTGATGAGACTAAGAGTTCTTTTAGTCTAGTTAGAGGTTTGTATGTTCATTATATGGAATAAGGGTGAGATTTAGGGATTGTGAACATTTACTACGTGTGGAGTTGAGTTAACAGTGTATTCTATCTGTCTTGATCAAGCTAGCAGCTGTGAGATTTCTCGTTGAAATGTGGTAGTGTTGATTTCATTGTGCTCAAAGAGTTGTTGGTGGTTGTAGAAATGTAAGATTTCTGTTCAAATGCGTTGATGCCGGTGTCTGAGTTGACATATGTATTGTACAATGTAGAAAGTAAGATTTGGTGAAATTGAGATCTCTTATTGCTATGATTTCATATTTCTGTAGAAAGGCTTAAATTAAGTCATTTTCCAGGAGTTCTTTTAGTCTAATTAGAGCTTTGTATGTTCATGATGGAATATGGGTGAGATTTAGGGGTTTTGAACACTTACAATGTGTGAAGCTGAGTTAAAACTGTACTCTATCTCTCTTGATCAAGCTAGAGGCTATCTGCTTTCTGGTTGAAATGTGGTAGTGTTGATTTCGTTGTGCTCAAAAAGTTGTCAGTGGATATTAAAAGAAAGATCTCTGTTGACCTACGTGATGCCTGTCTGAGCTAACTTGTTTATTGTACAATGTGGAAAGAGCTAAGATTTGGTGAAATTGAGATCTCTTATTGCTATGATTCCATTTTTGTGTGGGGACTAAGAATTAGTTGGTGTTGATATGCTTAAATTAAGTCTTTTTACTGGAGTTCTTTTAGTTTAATTAGAGCTTTACGAATAAGGGTGTAATGAACATTTACGATGTGTGAAGATGAGTTAATACTGTATTCTATCTGACATGATAAACTAGAAGCTATGTGTTTTTTCTTTCTGATTTGCAAGGCCTAGCTCTTGTTACTCTCTTCTAAGTGCCATACTCACCTACAGCCCGGTAAATAAGCGAGTTGATGCAAATCTAATTTACAAATGTTGAGGCTTAGATCGTATAATTTCCGTGTGTGTAGCAAGCTCTTGTTATTAAAATTTGAGTGTACATGTTGATGCATATGAAAAGAGAAGATTATAAAATGTAGAGCAATACACTCATAGTAACTTTTTCCCCCACATAATTTGTACAAGTAGTTGATACTGAATCCCCTAAACAGTCGCTACTTCCCATGCCTTTTTAACAGATGGGTGATAAAGAAGTATAGTCAGGAAACATTGAATTTGCCATGTCTTTTTTCCCCACAAGTTTTGATGTTCAAATTCTTTGGAAACAAATAGTTGCGTATGGCTCTGCATGTATCACTTATGAACATGTCTCAGTTCTGTATTTTTTAAAATTATCTGGGTAATAACTGATGGCTTGTTATGTTTTGGATTATCCTTCCAGTGAAACATACCGGTTCTTTGACCTTCCTTTTTGTACTCCAGGTATGTAACTATTGTTCGTAAGTATCCTTTCTTCAGTTACCCTGTAGATTTTTAAGTTTCAATTTACCGAGGGATGTTCTTACAGATCATGTAAAAGAGAAGAAGGAAGCTCTTGGTGAGGTCTTGAATGGTGACCGATTGGTCAGTGCCCCTTACAAGCTTGACTTTTTGTACGACAAGGACTCAGAAATAGTTTGCAAGAAGAAGTTGTCCAAGGAAGAAGTTTCTCAATTCCGCAGCGCTGTTGCTAAAGACTACTACTTCCAAATGTATTACGATGACCTGCCCATTTGGGGTTTCTTAGGGAAAGTTGACAAGGAAGGAAAATCTGACCCCAGCGAGTACAAATACTACTTGTTTAAACATCTTCATTTTGAGATCTTTTACAATGATGATCGTGTGATTGAGATCAATGCACGAACTGATCCTAATGCCCTGGTAGATATTACAGAGGATAAGGAGGTTGATGTTGACTTCTTGTACTCTGTAAAATGGAAAGAGACAAAAACACCTTTTGATAAGAGGATGGAGAAGTACTCACAGTCTTCATCGTTGCCGCATCACTTGGAAATCCATTGGTTCTCAATTATCAATTCCTGTGTGACAGTTCTTCTCTTAACTGGTTTTCTTGCCACAATTCTTATGCGGGTCCTTAAGAATGACTTTGTCAAGTATGTAGTAATTTTGTTATTTTGCTTGTTATGTACTTTTGTTGGTTTTTTGGTACAAAATTGTCTTAGTCTTTGGCTCAAATATCATTCATATTTTTTTTATAAAGGTATGCACATGATGAGGAGGCGGCTGATGACCAAGAAGAAACTGGGTGGAAATACATCCATGGTGATGTGTTTAGGTACCCAAGTCACAAATCCTTGATGGCTGCAGCACTTGGTAGTGGCACACAGTTATTCACATTGTAAGTATTTTCTGAATGGTTTACTCTGAAAAATTAAGTTTTCAGTAGAATATTAAAAGTCTGTTCAATGTGTATTTAATCTGACAGCTTCCTGCTTGGTAATTAGGAAATTTGTCATCTCAAGATGCCTTTGTTAACACTCGTTTCCTTTCAATTTGTAGGACCATCTTTATTTTCCTTCTCTCACTTGTTGGTGTTTTCTATCCATACAACCGCGGAGCTTTATTCACGGCACTGGTCGTCATATATGCTCTCACATCTGGTATTGCAGGCTATACTGCTGCCTCTTTCTATTGCCAGCTAGAAGGGACAAACTGGGTTTGTTTTCTTGTCTCTATTATTCTGCTTTTCCATTTGAATATAGTTTGAGAATTTTATCTACTGTGCTAAGTTTAAATCCCTAATTCTGAATATTTGCTTACTATCATCCCATAACAAGGGTAAATGCTTTGATTATTTTTTTTCACAATCACAAGCTTCCGTGAATATTTTCTCTCTCATTTTCTTAGGACACTGAAAATTGAAGGTTTGTAAATAGTAAGTCAAGTCATTTGTTTGCTGAAAGGCACATACTCTGATGGCATAACATAACTTTGACCCTCTATATTTTAAGGGTTAGACGATTCATCTGCTATTCCCTTGCTCTTTTGCTAATCAAAGAAAAACCAGAAGTTGGCTACTCAAAAATCCTATTCAAGCAGGCAAAACAAGCTGCACATAGAGTTCTGTTCTTTTTCCTTGATTTAGGTGTGTCATGTGTGATGTTTTGTATGGTAGATGATTTGTTGCTTATTCCTTCTGGACAGAACATTAAGGAAGCCATGGTATTTAGAAAAGCAGTTTATGTTTGTTCTGTCATACAATTAACTTCATCTTTTAGAGGTCAAGGCCAAGATATATTACATGCTTCATTCTTTTTTGGTTTGTCTATGCCATCAAATAACTGTCTCTGTGTTTGTTTAGTTCATTGTTGCCTCAGCTAATAAAACAAAAAGTTTAAAATGGAAGCATACAGCAAAAGCTTAATTATTAGATTTCATTTCTTCCCTGCAGGTCAGGAATTTGATATTGACCGGAGCCTTGTTTTGTGGACCCCTGTTTCTCACGTTCTGTTTCCTTAACAGCGTAGCAATTGCATACAGTGCCACTGCTGCACTGCCTTTTGGAACCATTGTGGTCATCTTTCTCATATGGGCTCTTGTGACATCACCTTTACTTGTATTGGGAGGGATAGCTGGAAAGAACAGCAGGGCTGAGTTCCAAGCTCCTTGTCGAACCACCAAATACCCAAGAGAGATCCCACCATTACCTTGGTACCGTGGAACTCTACCTCAGATGGCAATGGCTGGGTTTTTGCCTTTCAGTGCCATATATATCGAACTTTACTATATATTTGCAAGTGTTTGGGGTCACAGAATTTACACCATATACAGCATCTTATTTATAGTCTTCATCATTCTTATAATTGTCACTGCTTTTATTACCGTGGCCTTGACATACTTTCAACTCGCTGCTGAAGATCATGAATGGTGGTGGAGGTAAGTCTGTCATTTCTCTGGTGTGACTGTTCCTTAATCTTTCTTATGAATAATCTATGCATTCAAGCAATTCGAGAAACTCTTTGCTATGTGTCAAACGTGATATACATTTACCAGTACATGATACGTTCCTAACTTGTATGTGTTTGATCTGAATAGGGCTTTCCTCTGTGGTGGATCCACTGGACTGTTCATCTACGGCTACTGCTTGTATTACTATTATGCCCGTTCTGATATGTCTGGCTTCATGCAAACCTCATTCTTCTTTGGATACATGGCTTGCATCTGCTATGGTTTCTTCCTCATGCTCGGGACTGTTGGTTTCCGTGCAGCCCTATTTTTTGTCCGTCATATATACCGGTCAATCAAGTGCGAGTAGGAAGCAGGTACGACGGTCTTCCGTCTCGTACAGAATGCTTTACAAATGTGGTAGGGCAATATGGTATCCAAGAAGACCTTGTAGGATCTTAGGATCTCTTGAGATGATGAAGCATGTATTATCTTACACCGGAAAGTTAAGAACCTTTTTTTTGCCATTTTTCATTTACAGCTCAGCAATTTATATCGATTAATAGGTATATTAGAGTTTCTGTTCCATATTTTAATCCTTTGCAACACAATTACCCTAATATTGTCTAGTATTATTCCTTTTTACTGCATTGGACAAACTTTGAGCTATAAATTGTACTGGTCCCAAGTTTCAGAAGATTTTATCAAAAATGTGTTTTAAATCTTTATTTCAATTTCAACTTATTATCTTGCTCCTAAAAGCTTTTCTCTTTGCAACTCTACGGACAAATGTCACATTTTCCCGACATACAAGCGTGTGACATCTTAGGGCTTAATTTTTGCCCTTCTCCGACATTAAAGACATCAAAAATCATGTGTAATCGGCGTAAGAGAGGATAAAATGTACATAGAACTTATCGTGAAAGATTAATTACTATCCTGGCATTTGATATCAGAACTAACGAAGAATATTGATTTCTAACCTCCAAGTGATCGACTTGACAAAGAGGATTAGTATATAGAAACTTAGGAATTACTCTCCTCCTTTTGTTTGGGTTTATGTGTTTGGGGGAAAAGAGGCTAGTGAATAGTGGAAACTCAGTAAATCAATATCCCCTAATACAAACTAAGAGTTCATATCTGCCAAAAGAGGGAAGAAAAAATTAACCAAAAAAGGGAGGAAAATATAGAGATATTACTCCCTCTGTTCCTAATTACATATCCACTTTTTCTTTTATAGTTGTCCCTAATTTCTTGTTCATTTTGACAAATCAAGAAAGGACAAAATAATTTTACCTATTATATCCTCAATTAATTACTACTTTGAAAAAGATAAAATTTCTTGGAAATCTTAAATTTTTAATTCATCCACTTCATAATTAATAAGAATAAATGGTAAACTCACTATGTCAACAATTGCTTTCTTAATAGGTGTGCCAATTCAAAATGAACAAATAATTAGGGACAGAGAGAGTAATAAGCAACTTGCCAATTCCATAAAGTATCAATCTATCAGTTGCAAGACAACACACTAGGGATAAGCAAAGCATATAGAAGATAACAAATCCTGCAATGATGAAGTCTTACACGTTTGTCAATTGCTTTAAGTAGTAATAATAATGTTTTAACAAACAAAGGGACATTTGAAATCCATCCAATATTGTAACACAAGTCTAAAATAGTAGTAAAGGAAATCCAGTTTACACGCAGCTTTGCCCGACTGCTCAAACATGAAACAGTATCTCCTCGCTGCAGCTATCAGTTGCATATTTCCCCTTCGACAAAAGGTTAGCCATCAATGTGCTCTTCTGGGAAGGTGAGACAGTGTGAGAGTATCCAAACTCTTACAAAACGTTAATGTGACCAACTACCTCCATGTAGAACCACCAAGTCTGATAACCTCCTCAGTACTTGTATCCCTATTTGGAGCCCTGCCGTCACCTACGTTCTCCTTTTTATTGCCGAAGTCGCCATATAGATCTTTAAGCTTGGCCAGATTGCTAGATGCAGCCTTCTTCTCCTTGCTCTCATCCCTAGGTGGAGTTCGCTGCTGATCAAGACTTGTACCTTGATCATGCAAGCTTCGGCTGTGGCTTCTACTCCTACTACGGCTCCTGCTCCTCTCATAGTCTCTTCTGCTTCTCTCAATTGACCTTCGATCATAATCATACCTCCTGTCTCTATCCCTTCCCCGGTCTCTGTCATAATCATGCCTCCTGTCTCTGTCCCTTTCACGATCTCTTTCGTGATCATACCTTCTATCTTTATCCCGATCCCTGCCCCTATCCCTTTCTCTTTCCTGGTCCCTATACCTATCCCTATCCCTATCACGTTCTCTGTCCCTAGTTCTTTCATTGTCCCTGTCTCTGTCCCGGCCTCTGTCTCTTTCAGAATTTTCTCGGTCAGATAAATCACGACTTTGACTCCGGCGCATGCTGGGGGAACGTCTTGAACCATTTGCACCATCCTTATCATATGGTGGTGGTGCAATTGTTCGTCGGATGGGAGATGAATCTCTAGTTGATGCACGATGAGGTGCGCGCTGGCCAAAGGACACTGAAAGGGAGGCTTTGACAGAAGGTGGCCGGCGAGAAGTTTCCTCAGATCCACGACTAGAGTCACCGATCGACCCAGAGAGTTTGGTCGGCAGATTCATTTTTTCGAGACTGGCAACTGCCGTCCGCACGACAGGAACAGGAATGCGGGGTAGTAGTGTGTCAAAATAATACTGCAATAAAGAAAAATGTTCAAGTAAATTATGGGAACAGGTATGAAATACAATAATAGCATTATCCAAGAAAGTCTCAGGTAGTAATTGATGCATATGAATGGAAATTGAAGACCCCGATCCACCAAAGCATAAGTCTTGCCTCCTCCCTCCGGTAAAGGTTCCCTTACTAGCAAGTCAATGACATAAATGATAAATGTGAAGTACCCATACAAGCTCATATGTGCTGTGACAAATGATAGATCTTCCAATGAAGGGTCAGGCAGAGCATGAATTACATTCATCAGTTCAAAATGTAATAATCATCATAATCGGAAGATGTAGACTGCGCAATTCGAGATTAAGGAAACAATAACATGAAAGAAAGACTCAGATGTTTTTATCAAGTACTAGTCTCCAGGCACACGTGTTGCGCGTATACCCATATGTCAATAAGTAAAAACTCTTATAAAATCACATAAATATTATTTTAAAATGTGATACCAACTTAACCTCAATCAATCTATATTGCTATTCTCTTACTTAAAAATAGGGGTGAAATTATATGATTATAATCTTAAATCATATGTACATATAACTTTAAAGTAATGAACCAAATTAACCTTCCAAAGATAATTTATAAGAAACCACGAAAATCTAGAATCAAATGAATTTTTGTTAATATAAATATAAGGTAATCAAACTTAGTCATTCTCATACAATTGTTGAAGTCATACGTGATATTTATAACATTATGAATTCATCTTCCTCAAAATTCTTTTCGGTGTTGCTAAATAAAGTGAAGACGTCCAACTTGCTACACGTTCTGTTGTTACTCTCAGATCATAGCCTAATGAAGTTGAAAGACCAAACAAATGCCTCAATAAATATAGAAATATCAAATGTCATTCAGATTGAAAATAAGGTTTTGTATTCTGTAATTTATAAGAAGAATATCATATCGACTTTAGAAATCATATGCAAAGAAATATCGTTATCAATTTAAAGCAAAATAATCACTTACATGAATAGAATAAAGTACTTGAAAAACAGTACTTTTTTAATTCACCCAACAATTTGATAGCATTGGGAGAGGTTTAAGTAGTTGTTCCTAAAACAAAGAGATGGTGATGTGAAAAGTAAAAAATCATTGACAATTCCATATTGGAAGATAATTTCCATTTTGCAACCATGACAATTCACATATTTCTCAACAAAAAGGAGATAATTATGAAATAAATGAATAATACTAATAATTGAATTAGTCACGATTCTTACTATCGCAAACTGATAAAGAATTAACAGTTTCTAGTACTTTACGCCATATATCTAATTCACTCCTCTTTTGAAAAGGAAATATAGCACATTTGAGCTTTTTGATTGAAACTTAACTAATGACAATTCCATATTTATAGCAAAATTCTGATCACTTCATATTTGATAGTGTATAATAAATAGGATAATGTTTATATTCTCACAAAGCAACTTTACATTTTCAAAATGTATGCAAGTCCCCCAAGGCCTAGCTCAAGTGGCAAAAGGTGAAGGATTTGTGGCTTAGGTCGCAGGTTCAAGCCCCATACCATGCAAAGCGAAGCCCGGTATTTAAGTGGAGAAGGGTAGAGGGGTGGGTCCATTATCCACCGAGTTTAGAAGGCTGTGATTGGTCCAAAGGGCGGGTCACAGACAGATTTCTTGGTTATCAAAAAAGAAAAAAAATGTATGCAAGAATTATTTTAATTAAAAGTTATTAAATGAAGGCAAACTAAACCCTTTTTTTAATAATTGAGCTGTTTCTGAGAAGGTAAAGGGACTGTTTTTGTTTTTGTTTTTTTTTAAAAGTGTGCCACGTTTTTGTGTCTTTCCTTTCCTTTTTATTAATTGACAATTAAATGACAAATAATAGACATAAATTGTACATTTGAAATAACTACAAAAGGACAAAAGTAAATGAATCATCTCAAATAATACTCCCTATGTTCCTATTTATATGTCATCATTTTAGATTTCACGTCCCTTAGGAAACCAAGTAAGTTATCCATTGTAAACTTATTTAGTGTTCTCTTGAAGTCAAATTTTCCATTAATGAACATGAATTAGTTTATTTTGATTAATTAATTTGACCAATGAACATGAATAAATTATTTAGTTTTCCTATGTTGGTCAAATTCATATTTTCAAGGCTAATAACTCTCCAGGGTAAAATAGAAAGAATAGTGTTATTTATGCATTGATTTTATGAAATGACAAGTATTAAGGAACATCTATTTTTAGCAAGGACTACATATAAATAGGAACGGAGGGAGTAACTTGCCGTAAATGCTAGGTAGATAAAGAAATTCACTCTAGTAACATCTTATTTAATTGCTTTGTTTATCATGTAAAATTTACTATTTAGTACAAAAATATCATCATCATAATAATAATGTTCAGATGAGGGGTTAGTATTAGTATAATATGATTATTATTTAATTAATTAGATACTTTTTAACTTGGTGTAGGGGGAAAATGGTAATCCAAACTTTGCACTTTAGAACTTCCTACTTTTAATAATCTATATCTATATGATGATGATAAGCACATATTCATAATTACAGTCACAGAAACAGTTGGGCAAAACTATTACACAATTGTCTTTTCATTCAGTTGTTAAAAGCACACATATTCGAGAGCAAGAGTTCATAGAAGTATCTACTGTCCAACTCCTTTGGAGGAACTGCTTCACTATTGAATACTGACTAAGCTACAGTCATGTTCTACTTTGTAAAGTTAGCAAACAACATAGAGGCAAAATAGGAACCTCAGAGATGAGCATGCATTAGAAACATCATAAGTGTATATTTATTGCATCACTGCTAACTATTCTCTAAAAAGTGGGTTTTAGAGGTGGCACCTTACCTGCCCGAGAAATAAGTCACGCACATATACGCCCATTGTGGTCATTTGGCCACTGGATCCAGGAGAGAATTCCTGAAATAAATAGTTAATAATCAGAATGAGCCCCTCTGACCATGAGTAGGCGAACAAACTAAAGACATAATGGTTCAGTTTTCTTAGATGCAGCTAAAACTACTGAAAAGGCTCCCACTGCTTCAAAACCCCAGTTCACAGAAAAAGAAGGAATAGAAGACGGAAACTGTAGAAAAATAAAGAGCAAAAGGTTAAATATCAGATGTGTACCACCATACAAATATGAAAATCAGTTCACCTGCAAAAAAAATCATGTCCATGCACCTTCAAGCAAGAGTGGTCCTTGCATCCTAAGGCATAAGGAGTGAGAATCATAGCAAAGTATGCACAGATCATGTAATACTTACGGCACACATTTTACCAATTTCGGAAAAAAAATGTAATACTTATGGCACACAATCAAGATCAATATCTCAGAAACAGAGCTGAGACCGACATGGTTCTATGCATACTTATAACCTGTTTGGCCAAGCTTCTGGGAAGCCAAAAGTGCTTATTTTAGAAATTTGAAGTGTTTGTCTAAGCTTCTAGGGATAAAAAGTGTTTTTGAGTAGTGGCAGAAACTGTTTTTTAAAAGCTAAAAAAAGTGGCTTTCTCCAAAAGTACTTCTGGAACATTGGCCAAGCACAAAGTACAGCTATAATATTGGCAAAGTGCTTTCAAAATCGATTAGCCAAACACAAAATGCTACTCTTCAAAAGAACTTTTCTGAGAATCACTTCTGACAATAGCACTTTTCAAAATAAGCAGATTCAGGAAGCTTTGGTCAAACAGGCTATAAAAAAGAGAAAGAAAGACAATTCTACCACTGAAGCTATTGGAAAGTGAGTTCTTGCAGTAGAAACAGTAAAGTGGTGATTCAAAGGAGACCATTAAGATTTTTTTAAAAAGAACTTATTTAAAACAGATCAGCTAGTTTAAAAAGAACGAAAACAGAGAGGAAAAACATTATCGTTTCAGGAGTGCCAGGAAATTAATTATAGAGGCAATGCTTTGAGAAGATTGACGAGACAAGAGAACAGTAACAAATGATTTCACCTCTCCTTCAAACACTATATTCCATGAAATTGAAGAAAATAGTCAAAGTTGCAAACAAATCTATAGCGTGGAAATGATCAGAATTGACAGATATGTCGTTTGTATGCAAAATGCCAGAATCCTAACAGAATGCACCACTGCATCATCTGAATCCAGAAAACACAATAGAATGATCTAGTTGAGGTAGAGCATTTCATTTTTACCTCATCATCTTTGAGGTAAGGTTCATACCAACCCCATAATGTCTTAAAATCACCAAGATATCTCAGATAAAGGAATCCAATCTGCAAAAGAATAATAAAATCATTGAATCCATAGCAAGAGGCTCAAAAATGCAAGTCCAACAATGTAAGAAAACAAAAGCCCATGAAGTTGAGGAAGAAGGGACATGGTTTGATTGGGAATGCAACTGAATTCTCTATTCATACATGTGCTATTTTAAATGGATCATGAAAGAAACTGCTGCACATTAGATGGAATTCCAAAAGTATTATTTGATTCTACTTGGTAAAACAGTGAAGGTGATGACAAGAAAGTAGAGGAGTTGGTTCCAGTTTGCTTAAAATCTAGCATCAGCAAGAACAAAAGGTAATTGTGTTAGCTTTCTGCAGCATTTAGCAGAGAAGAATAGAGAGAGGAAAAAGTATGACATAACATAGCTGGTAAAGAGAAGACTGAACTCGGTACGCCTCATTACTCAATATCACCATACGGATGAAGTGGGTCAATTCTCTATAAAAACTTCCTTACAACATAAATTGTAACTTCTGATTGTCTATCAACAATTATTGGACGAGTAGAAGTAATATTTTATTTTCCCTTGTGCTTTTGGAAACACATGACACACTCCATGGATGACTTCCACTCCTTTACTTCCAAATAAAAACCTTTTAATAGAAAATACTGTTGGAGGTGGTTAAAGCTGTGAGGGTTCTCACTATCCAACTCCATTTATCACTTTTGACTCTATTATGGCACCTCTAACACAAAAGCATCACAAATTGGACCAACTTCCAAGCCAACCAACAGCACCGGAAACTCTCAACTTTCATTAAGGGTTCTTAGGTCTTTACCAATCAAAACTTAAAAATGAACAAAGGTTTTTAAGGGGAGAATATGCGCACGACTAGTCTACTACTAACAAGGCATGATCATCAGCTGAAAATAAAATCATCCCCTAAATATCTATACAAAACTCCAAGGGAATCAAAGACAGTATATAGCGGAAAAAAAACAATTCACAGCCAAGAAAACAACAAATCTAATAGAAAAAGGGTAAGATACAGAACACCACTTACAGCTCTAATGTAAGGAGAATCTGGATGCTTTAACAGGCCATGCATTTGCTTGACAGTAAGTTTCATTGTAAAGAACTTGTAGAGAAGGCAGAAGGCTGTTGAAGGACCACGACAGTTGCCAGTCATCCATGGTTCCACATGATCAACTTGATTATAGATTTCATCAATCACTTCATGATAAGTTTTCAGCCGCAATAGGTCTCTGAAGTAATCAGAAGATAGAATGTTCATGCAGAGAACCTTCTCCAACAATTGGTCAATAGGTCTCCCAGAAGTCTTAAGCTCAGCCATGCCCTTAGTGATGTGGACACCAGAGTGTTATCTTTTCCTCCCTTGTGTGGCCAACAATAGAAATGATATTGGAAAAGGTTTAGGTTCAGATTCTGAATTACCTGTCACAAGAAAAAGTGAATACATTATAACCATAACAGCATTGATTGAATTGAAACAGCAACAATAGTGTGATCCCACAAAGTGGATCTGAATTGATTAAATTAAAACTTGTAAGAAATGTTCACTGATATAACCAAGTTTGAGCTAAGACAACCATCCCATGTCTGAACAGCTAAATGATCATTATTGCTTGGCACATTCATACAACCAATCAACTAAGCATCAATCCAACTTAACTGTGATCGGCTATATGAATCGTCTTTATTCATTCAGCTCTATTTAGGTCCAGTTCATCTGAATAGTAAAACAATTATCTTTCAAGGCAAATAGTGAGTTAACTAAAAGGCCTCTAAAACCAACACTTACAAACATGCAACTATAAGTCTCTTGCCAAAATAAAAAGACTCTTGACAAACATCAGACCAAATGCAAGTATAACGGTACAGTGATTCCCACAAACATCCACAAAATTATCACTTTATTGCTGTTATAGATCCACTACTTCTTCATTCAGAGGGAGGGAGGGAGCGAGGGAGACTAACCTTATAGCTTTCCATTGGGTAATAGCCATATGTGCACCTAACCCACCTATCAACTCATCTATATGATGTTCAACTAACTTGCACTAGTAGACTCCTATTGTATTGGAATTAAGTACCTATCTTTTTACTGCTGTCAATGATTTCTTCCACGTTTGATTTTTCTACATTAAAACATTTCTTCAAACCATCTCTGATGCTATTGAGGGGCCACAGAAGGCTACAAAAATAACAAAAAGAAGCTAACACAACCCTCATCAAGTAATTTCTTTCATTTCAGATGCAAAAATTGAAAAGTAACAACAAAAAAACAGTTAATTGGAATCAAGAAGCTGTTTTCACTCCAATTTTCTCACAAAAATTCAAAAACAACTCCAATTCCAATTTGTATTCATGGCCAAATACAACTCCAACATTTCAAACATCATTATTCACTTTGAAAACACAAACTCAAATCAAGAAACACTATAAAGGAGCTAACTTTCAAAACTAACCTCTACATGAACATTTAGAAACCCTAGATTCCAATTAGAACTCAAATTAGGAAGATTTCAATGATTCCAAGCTCAAAATACCAAAATATAAATGGAAAATTTGAGTTATTCATACCTTTTATCGGTTTTCCGCCGGAGAATCGATGAGGGAAAATGGAAAATTGACGAGGAAGAGAAGAAGAAGGAGAAAGGAACCGGAGATCGAGGGGTACAAAAGCTACTGATAAAGTTAGTATTGGGCTTTGAGAGATCCAATTGAAATTATTTTTGGGCTGAGTAGTTAATGGGCTTCTCGTGAACAAGAAAGTTGATGGGCATTCTGTTATCAGAGCCCAGTTTATAGAAATTGTTGAATATCATGATTCATGGTAAATACTTGAGTTCGATTTCAAGTTACTATATAGATAAGATTATATTGTGAAAAAATCGACAGAGATCGGATTTATTTTTTCTGTACTTTCGTAATGATTTTTAATAAAAAATTATATTTGTAAATTTAAGGAAACTTCCTCGATTTTAATCGATAAAGACCGTTGGTTTTCTTGAACTGATTCACCATTTTTCGATGTAGTCTAACCCGTTAGTTTTGGGTCAATTTTAGTATAAAAAGTAAGAGATGGATAGGTAGGATTATTTGTTCTTTTCTAAAGTCTCAGATTTAAGCTTTGAATATGAAAAAATTCAAATAGGAAGTGCTTCCCCTTTTAATGAGTCTTACACGTTAAAAATCCAAATTAATAGTTATCGAATACTGAATTGAAAACAAAAAAAATCATTTTTTTCATGTAAAGGAACTATACATGGATTGCATTTCTTTATTCAACAACAATGGCAAAGATTTAAAGTACACCCAATTAAGTAGAACCTAACCCATTAGATAGAATCTAAATAACCTAACCAAACTTACAAAAATCTTATATCACGAAACAAACCCTTTTAAGTTTTATTCAACAATGGAAAATTGAAGATGTCAAAAAAAAAAATAAAAAAAAATAGTTGTTACAAAGCATTTATATATCTACAATAGACAACATTGACAATTATGAAACTAGCTTCATTTTGCCTTCATGACTATTCACTTGACTTGCTTCATAGTGTTGAACATTGAGAAGTTCATGTAGCTAGAACATTTGCCATTCAACATGAAACTTGGTTCTTTTGGAATAGTCAATGGCCTTGTTGATCTGAAGTAAAAAGAATGCGAACTTAGAAATTTTACTAAGGGGTGTAAATATATATATATATATATATGAAAAAGTTGAGAGAATTCAAACATATATAGCATATAAATGTGTGTGTGTACGTGCACTGAAAATTCCGAAAAAATAATATAATGTTAGGTTATGAACCGATATTCTCAAATTAAAGACTCGGAATCTTTGATTCATTAAGTTAAAAATCAAAAACTGTGTCACAGTACAAAGAGTAATTAAGATATTTAAAGTTAGATTATTTGTTCAATAATAACTTTTTTGATTAGTATCATCAAGGGCGAAGTCATTGGTACAGTTACAGATTCAAAAAACTTTATAGTCGTATTAAAGAAATTCGTTAATATGTATAGATAATTTATTTTGAACCTAGTAAACCAAATCGATTTTGGTCCACTACAAATCCATAAACTAAAAATTCTAGATAGACTCTTACTTGTCCTTTGGCTCAATTTATAGAGAACCAACTTATATAGTCCTTTAATTTGTTTAATTATCATACCTCTGTGGAAGGAAGGGCTTATCAAAAAATGGCATCAATTGAGCTCTTGGTATCATTTCTTTTCTTAGCAAACGAACTTCTTCTTCTTCTATCATCTGTCCAAAGAAAATATTTGTTTGTTACATAATTTTTTTAATAAATAAATAAATAAATTGTAATATATATACTATAGTAAGAATGTGAATTTTATAAAATAATTAATGGAAAAAGACAAATATACCCCCGAACTAACGTAAATGGTATGCATATACCCTCTGTCATACTTTTGGGACATTGGTGCGCCCTCTAAAAACTAGAGCATATATACCCTTTATACTAACGGACATACACATGTCATAATCTTATCCACTGACTCAACATTTATTAAATATCGGATCAACGGATAAGATTGTGACACGTGTCCCTATTTACTCTTCCGTTAGAGTGAAGGGCATATGTGCTCTAGTTTTTGGATGATAGGGGCACCAATGTCCCAAAAGTATGACGGAGGGTATCAACATACCATTTACGATAGTTCTGAAATATATTTGTTCTTTTTCCCAATAATTAATGATTTTGAAGAGATATATATTTGTTCTTACCTTTTGTACTTTCTCTACTGTTTTCTTCTGTTGCTCTATGAAGTAAGATTTGGTTTCCATCTGTGAATTTAATTTCTTTTGTTAGAGTAGTATTCAAGGTTTTCATTTAATTTTTTTCTTGTAAGTGAAATTAGAGAAATGTATATAGGGATTTTCTTCAAAACAATTAAAATAATATTTAATTTAATATAATTCTTAAATAATCACTATAACTATTTAATATCGTTTTAATCGTATATGAACAAAATACGTGGCATAAACTATCAAAAAGTATAGTCTTAGATCAAATGTCACACTTTTTGATCAAATTAAGATATGGAGTGTACTTGCTAAGGCAATGATTTTCAAGAGGCAAAAATACAGTTTACAAAAAAGTGTTGCCTTTTCATAGACCAAAACCTAGCTTGTACGTTTCCAATATACCTACGTCTTTCATATTATACGAGCAATAGTGGAGTCAGAATTTTTCCTAAGAAAATTTAAAATCTAAAGAAATAGATACACAAATTAGTCAAAAGGGGTTTAATATGTACTATATATAAAAATTATTTTAATTATATATAAATAGTATAATTTTCCACGAAAATAGCTCCACCCCTACTACATTGTACACACTTTCATGCACGTGTGATAATTTAAATAAAAAAAATATATACATTTTTTTTCATAAATCTCATAATAGTGACGAATCAATTTTCAAGAGACATATCGTTTATTACCTTATCTACAATTACATTTATTATATATTATAATATAAATTAAATAATAGTGAGTAGTAAAATGTTCTTCATGATTAACAACTTCTAATGACATGAATAAACACTAATTATAATTAATTAAAACACTTACTGAGTAATTGAATAAAGCACGTCTTCTTGCTCTTTGTTGAGTATGAAGTTTGATCTCCACTGGTTTTATATTATCCTTTGCTAATGACTTTTGTTGAGCCTAATATAAATAAGTTTAATTTTAATTAATTAGCTCTCAAATTAAATTTTGAAGGAAACTAATTAATTAATTCATTCATTCATCTTACACAATATTGTACCTTGTTTTTGTCAACTGATTTCTCCTTTGACTCATATCTCAACTGTAAAAAAATAATATTTTAAAGTTATATATATTAATGTTGAAGCATCTTTAAAAAACCTAGACTTTTTTTACCCCAAAAAAATGAAGTTCAATTACATAAAAAAATTAACAGTAATGACTTTTTTTTAGTAGTGTGTGAATTAATTAGAGTTTAAATCATGTTAATTACCACATCATTATTTTTCATCGATTGATATAGAGGAGAACTTGATCTCACTGTTCTTCCAGGAGATTGGATTGGAGATTGTGAACTGCTCCTCACAAGCTGAAGTTGAAACAATCAAAAAGAAAAAAAAAGTTTGAATTATAAATCAAATTGTAAATTAGTTTAATTAATATCCATCGAAAATACTGTAAAAAATTTTACACTATCATCATTTAGCGGGTCACTTAAAAAAATATTTGTATGACATAACTCTCCATAATAAGTGTAGGAATTATAATCTTGATAATAAGACAACTTACTCGTTACAATATATACAAATGATATGATGGTGTAATTCTTTTTAAAAACTTTAGTGTAGGTAAGTTTGACTCATAAATAAGAGTATCACCAAGGTAACGGTGGAATAAACAAGATTACTCAATCCTTAATTTTAAAGGTCTTAGATTCGAACTCTGGATATAAAAAAAATTATGGTACATAGTGTTTCCCCTTTTATTGAAATCTTATGTACATGTGCAATTCTGGATTAATCGAAACCTTCAAACAGATATTAAAATTTGGGTGGAAACAAAAAAAAATCTCATTGTAAAGAATAAAATCCGTGATGTGAATTTGAATTAATTAAAATATCAATATGAATACCGAATTTTGAATAGAAAACAAAAGAAAACCTCATACTAAAGATTAAAGCATGTGTGAAAAAACAGGTAAAATCATAATTCTCACCTTTTGAGAAGATTTGGTGTTTGGGCTCTCCATGTGGTTTAGCTAAAGGGGATATGATTAATTCTAACTAAACCCTATATTTATATATAATACAAACACACCATGTGATAAAAATAAAAGTTTCAAAAAAATATTTGGAGATTTGCATTTGTCTTTGGATCAGAATCACTTGTTGTTGCTCAATCACAAGAATATTTCTTTTTTTCAGAAATTTGTGATTTCTCTTTTCTACCAAACTTTCTGATTAAATCTCCCTCTCATATCATAATTTAAACTTTTTAATTGCACATATATAGTTCATGCTTAATTCTTCATATGATGAATATTCACTTAATTAATTATTATTAATCATGCATACATATCTTATAGCTTAAGTTTAATGATAAGTTCCTTTAACATTAATAATAAATAATTAATGGATTACACTCTTCAAGTCTGGTCATGATGACAATATAATTCACTAAAGATGACTACAAAAAATACTCGTGTAAAAATCTTAATAGGAAGCACTTCTCGCTTTAGTGAGTCTTACACAACTCATATTCGAATTTGTTAGGGACACCATTACTGATATCAAACATCAAGTGAGAAACCTTTTTTTTGGACTCTAATTATATGATATGTACTTTGTCTAATTATTTCATACATATTTTTTTTCTCTTTTTGGTTGTCACCTGGGGTGTGTTTGGTATGAAGGAAAATGTTTTCCTAGAAAACATGTAGATTTTGGACTTATTTTTTCATGTTTGGTTAGTGAATAGAAAATATTTTCGAATTTTTTTTTTTAGTGTTTAATTTATGAATGAAAAATATTTTTGAGAAAATATCTTTTTTTTAGTAGAGAGTAGAAAATATTTTTTGAATTGAAATTGAAAATATTTTTTAAAAATAAACTTAAATCTTTTTTGTGGGGAGGGTGGGGGAGGTAGGGGTGAGATCGGATAAAAAAATAAAAAATTGAAATTGAAAATATTTTTAAAAACAAACTTTTTTTTTGGAGGGGGGGGGGGGGGGGTCGCAGGCAGGGGGTGGAGTGGGGTTAAAAAATAAAAATTTGAAATTGAAAATATTTTTTAAAAAAACAAACTTAAATTTTTTTTCGGAGGGGGGTGGGGGTCGCGGGTAGGGATGGGATGGGGTGAAAAAATAAAAATTTGCAATTGGAAATATTTTTTAAAAACAAACTTTAAATTATTATTTTTTTGGGAGGGAGGTGAGCTGGTAGGGGGGCTGGACTGGGGATGGGTGGGATGCAAAATAAGAATTTGAATTTGAAAATATTTTTCGGAAACAAACTTTAATTTTTTAATTTTTTTTTGGGGGGGAGGGGGGTGGGTCGAGTGTAGGGTTGGGATTTTGTGGGGGGGTAGGGGTTGGCAGGGATAGGGGGTGAGGGAGGGGTAAAAAAATAAAAAATTGAAGTTGAAAATATTTTTTAAAAAATAAGCTTTAAATTTATTTTTTTTCAACAAAAAAAAATTGTAATTTGAAGTTGGAGGAGAGTTTTGGAAAATGTTTTCCTTAATTTTTGAAGGGAAGTCATTTTCCTTAAATTTGAGGAAAATAAGTTGATTTGGAAAATATTTTACCCAACCAAACATGAGAAAATTGAAAAACATTTTTCGAAAAATGTTTTCCTTCATACCAAACACATCCCTGATCTTCGATATTCTCTTGGAACTCGACTAATAGGATACTCGTCGAAAAGTCCCACTACAGAAGTAAAGATCTCCCCAAAAGTCGAACTCCATTCTTAATACTCAAATTCAGAATTTCTAATTAAAGAATACTTAGAGGAGTATTTATTGCTCAATCACAACCTTTGTCCTTCTTGTTCCTCTTGCTGAAATTATTTTAAAATTACTTTCCCATACTCAAAAGCAAGAATCGTGTATTACAAGAATATATGGTTTTTTTTAAATTTAAAAAAAGAGTCAAAATCTATGTTCTAATTAAACGTACTAACTGTTTAACAAACTTGATGGTGTTATGCGTTTGTGGAATTGTAATTATGAAAAGGGATCAACGTAGGGATTAAGATTTGGTTTAGACTAATTGTAGTCAATTATTCAATTAGTAAAACAACAACAACAACAATTCCAGTGTAATCCACAAGTGGGATATGGGATCGGAGGGTAAGACGTATCCAATCTAATATCTATGTCCTTTTGGGGTAGAGAGAGTACTGTTTTTTGGTTGATCACTATCGACAACTCTCTTCTCTTATTTAAATTTGAGACCGACAATATGAACGAGCTCACACGAGTAGAATTTTATTTAATTAGTAAAACAGATAAAGAAAACAAAGATGGAAGGTAGCCTTTCATTTCTTGGGCAGTTTGTTGGTATCTTATCAAAAGGGGATAAATTAAATTGAACATGTCATATAGTTAGGTCATGAAATCGAAAATCAACCAAACTAATTTTGAAATGCTTATGTTTCAAGTTTGTTACTACTTATTACAACTTTATTCATTGATAACATAGTGTTCATGATCACTTGGAGGAAAGAGTTTGGACGAAAAATAAATTTTATATTAAAATAAGACTTGTTATGTGAGTGCAATAATATTGACTACTACAAAAACAAAGAATTTTGGATCGAAATTTTTCATTGAAAATTGATTAATCGGAAATATTTCCAACAAAGCATCTATCAGAAATCTCTAAATCCGATGACGTTTCGATGGAACACCTATCGTAAATTATTATTTTTTTAGTCCGCACACGTATAATAATAAATGAAAGAATACGAAAGAAACAAATTAAACAATAGGGAAGAATAAGAAGGCACCATATTTTGAGACCATACTTTAAGGGCTATTGTCTCGATTTCTTTGTGGGAAGACGCTTCTAGAATTACGTTTAACACTCTTTATGATTTTTTTGAGCACCTCAGGTCCATAGCTAGGCTTTCGTTTTGAGATCATGGACAAAATTCTTTTAAATTTCGATCGAATCGTTATATATTTTCTAAATTTAGATTAGAATTTCTTGCCACTCGCATTATTTTATCAACTATTCTTGTTCCCTAAGTTCCCTTTTAACGCCAAATTAAGCTCTTCTATTTTTATTTTCGACCTGCACCAAAAATATTTTTCCTCAACAAATTAAACACCTATTAATAATTAAACTTAAGTTTACTTACTACCACATTACTTTTCTACTATTAAGGTAAAAAAATATGTGTTAGTTAATCACGGTTAAGTGGTAAAAATTTATATAGAAGACAAGTGTAATATTATCATGGGAAAATTGTATGAAATAGCAAACATTTAATTCATATTAAATGTTATAGCTATAATTTACTTTATTTCCAATTCGCAGCTACTGGCACATAATTTGCTATCTAGCAGGACCCAAGATATTGTATAAAGAGGCGAAAGGTATATGTGTGTAAAGATATATACAAATCCAAGCAGTTCTTTTCTATCCCCATTTATAACATTTTCTCCTAAAATCTCTCACCCAGATTAGTTTCCTTTTACCCACATTATTTTTGAATTTTCGGTTATTTTCTCTCCTAAATTCTCTCACCCAGATTAGTTTCCTCTCACCAACATTATTTTTGAATTTTGAATTGTCGACATTACCCTCCCGATTGTGCTATTAAAATTTCAGGTAACCGCCAAAAACATGTTGAAATCAACTTTATATTTTTTTTCTTTGTATTTTGTATAATATTTTTAATTTTTTTCATGAATTTTCATATACATATACAAATTCAACTAATACAAATTTTTATTTATATACATATCACACACACACACACACACACACACACACACACACACACACACATATATATATATATATATATATATATATATAATTGAAAAGCACAACAAAAAGAACATATACTTATACAAATTACAGCTAATACTATTTCTTATTTGCATATAGATTTCACATATACACTTATACAAAAAACACGTACATATACAAATTACAACTATATGTACATATACAATGGACAAACCCAACAAAAAACACATATACATATACAAATAACATCTAATATACAAACACAATTATCATAATTAAAGACGAACATGATTGTATACATATACAAATATAAAAAAAACTGAAATGTTTTATACACAAATTATCTAATTGTATAAATGAATTTAACAAAACTGAACAATTTGTATATAAATTGGATGTATTTAGCGAATTATACAAATCAAAAGTTTCATAGCAAACATAAAATTTTCTATGGAGCGCAATTGTGCAAACTATAGCTATAGCATACAAATATGTTTTTTATATTTGTTAAACCTAAAATTCACTCTATTATCATTGATTTTCTTCTTGGGCAATTTACACATGCATTTTTAAGAAAATGAGAGAGCAGGCCCAATAGAGTGGGCCTGAAGTAGATGTGAAATAGTTTAGGCTTAACAGGCTGATGGGTCAGCCTACAACAATGTTAGTGGCAAGATGCAGTGGCGGAGCTAGGTAGAATTACACTTGTGCTTCGACTTTCTAAAACAAATTTGGATCATTTTTCAATTTGTGTGTGTCAGCATACTCTTCTCAATTTGTGTTCACATTTTTGGTACTCACAAGTAATTACAACTTGCAGGATACATAAACTGTCAGAACATTAGTACAAACACAAAAAGTTTGTTTCTCTATTAGTAAAATTTAACATCACACACACCGAGGGAATTTCTGTTAGGGTATATACTATTAATCATGTGTTTAGACATAGTATTCTAACAATTTTCAAGATTAAATATCTAAGTGGGAGATTGTTAGGGTATATACTATTAACCATGCATTTAGATATAGTACATTACAACAATTGTGATGGTTAAAAGTCTAAGTGGGAGATTGTTGGGATATATACTATTAACCATGTGTTAAGAAATAATATTTATTATAGAATAAATATTTGCTCAATTTTAATAGATCATATGTTCGTTTATAGTGTCTGTTTACTTATATAGTAGAGGATTTAGTGTGTAGAGTTTTAGCTTATACACAAAGGATTAAATCATCGGTTCTTATAAGTATAAATTTTTTTGTTCACAAT